TTGGGCCGTCTTGGGGGGAGGCCTCAGGGACTGTCTTGAGAGCCTCTGGAGCTGTTTCGGGGGCCGCCTGGGCCGTTTTGGGGCCCTCTTGGGGGCTTCTTGGGTTGTCTTGGGGTCATTTTGGAGGCTGCCTGGGCCGTTATGGGCGTTTGAGAGCCGAAGAAGACCAGAACTCTGAAATCCTTCAAACACCACATGAGAATTAATCATTTTGGCTTCTGGAGGCACTCTTAGGTGTCGACGGATCGGGCGCGACTTCGGGGGGGGGAGGTTCGGAGGACACATCACAATATAATATAGCACAATATGATGCAACAACGTAGTAATTGGGCACATGGGATACATGGCATTATCGCCTACACAGAAAACGCTGCCGGACGAGCAGGTGCACAGGCCTCCTCGTGGCCGCTCGTCGGAAACGCGTCGTCCTCATCCCCGGCTGGTGCTTGTGACCCCCTGGGGGTGGGGGGTAGGCTGGGGCGGGTCTGTGCCCCTCCTCTCTTCCTCACTCCCCCCCCCTCCGCCTCTCCCTTCCGCCCCTCCTCTTCTCTTCCTCCCCTCCCTTTCCCTGCTCCTTTCCTCTCCCGGTTCACAGTTCTCGCCGCGGTTCACCCCCCCCGCCAAGGTCTTGGGCCTACGGGAGGTGCGTTCAGGGGTTTGAGGGCAATGGACGCGGCTAACCCCAACCCCATTCGGGGTGCCCCTGTGTGTGCCTATCGGTAGGGGTATGGTCGTGCTGATGTGGTTGGGTCTCCTGTCTTGTGCTCGGGTCGGCCATCCTCTAAGCATTCAGGTTTGTTGCGCGGCGGGAGTGCACAACCTCCCCGGGACCATTTCGCCGCGGAGGCGGTTGGGGCCTCGGCTCTTTCCTCCGCGGGGGCTTCGGCTCCGGCTGGGGCTGCGGTGTCAGTCGCGGGTCCCGGGGGGCAGACCGGCGACTCGTCTGGCCAACGCGCGTCGGTGATTGTGCCAAGCGTGGCAGGTGTTGTGGCGAGAGTTTATTGAGATGGCCCTACGTTTCCTTCAGGCAAAGCTCGGTGTCCGGGAGGTGCTTTGCGGATATGTGATTCGCCCTGCGACGCCAGAGTTTGGTTCTGGGCCTCATTGTCCTGTGCTTGGGTGGCACCTAGGGGGTCGGTTTGCCTAAATGCACCAAGTCGGCGCCCGGCGCCACCGCTGGTGCGGCCACCTCCTTGGCGCCACTTTGCATTGGTCTCGTGTTCCATGGTGGCGTTGCATTGTGATGTCAAATGTAATGTGGGTGTTTGAGGGAGGGGGAGGGGTTGCACATTTTCGATGGTATCCACTTTGTTTGGGGTCTTCGGGGGGCTGTACCCTTTGAGCCGAGCGGCGATCCTACGTGACGTCGCGGGGGCGGCAGACGGTTCTACTGTTCCGTCATGTGCCAGACCTGCGCCTACTGACGCAGGTCACGCCGCCCCCACGCCCTAGCAGCCGGGGCACTGTTCGTTGTCTCGGGAGATGTGGCGTTCGTGGGGTGGTTTGCTCCCCCTTTTTTCCCCTCCCTCATTCATCCCTGCCCCACAACCATATGTGTTTCTGGTCTGGTGCCTGCGTGTCCAAAAAGATTAGTTTCTGGCCCCTGTGCACAGTTGACACGCCAACATCGTGAAGTGTGCTCCTCGGTGGTGGTGGGGTTGGTTTTGTGTTTCGTTGTCGGGGTGTTCGTGGCTGTGATGTGTATGTGCCCAGGTCGATTTTCGCCTCCGACTAGATTCCAGGTCGCACGCGGGTTCATCCTGAAGGCCCGGGAGTCGTACGCGGCTTTCCACCCGGAGGCGGGGGTGGAGGCGGAGGCGGAAAACGCTGCCGCTCAGCACGTCACCTACGGACGTGGATTCCTCTCGCTTTGCCAGGTGCGCGTCCAGAGCACGTGCAATCCAGTTTTTGCGCGGCATGGTGGGAGCCTCTTCGGGGCCTCTTGGAGGCCCCGTGGGGTCCGCTTGGGGCCTCTTGGGAGCTGCTTTGGGACCTCTTGGGGTCTTTTGGGGCCGCTTGGCCCCTGGGAGGCCGCCCTGTGGGCCTCTCGCGGCCGCTTTGGGGCTCTCTGGGGGTCTCTTTGGGCTGTCTTGGGGGCCTCATGGACTGTCTTGAGGGCCTCTTTGAGCCGTCTCGGGGGCCGCCTGGGCCGTTTTGGGGCCCTCTTGGGGGTTTCTTGGGCTGTCTTGGGGTCATTTTGGAGGCTGCTTGGGCCGTTATGGGCGTTTGAGAGCCGAAGAAGACCAGAATTCTGAAATCCTTCAAACACCTGAAGAAGATTTTGGCTTCTGGAGGCGCCCTTGTGGCCCTCTTGGGCCTTCTTGGGTGCTTTTGGGGCCCTCTTGGGGCCATCTTGGATCGTCTTGGGCATTTTTCGGACGTGGAATCTGCAGGCTTGCGCCACATACGCCGACCCCTTCAGTCACCTTGGTCCTCTAGGTGGTGGAAAGCGAAACGTGTTTTGCTCGTGTGTCGTGCCGTGCTTCTGCTGCGCGCGCCCCGTGCGGTTCCCCCGTGCCGTAAGTACCGTCCGGGGTCGTGCAACATTGTATGGGGATCCCGGTAGGCATCTTCGTAATGTGACGGTTGAGTTTCAGCTCCCATTAAACACGTCCTCGTAAGTTTGGTGCCCGCTCATGTATCCGTGGTTATGAATCTCAGTGGGGATCCGCGCTGGGCGCCCTCGCAATTCTGGCGCCCAGGTCAGTTCGGATCCCAGTCTGTGTACTCGATTCTCTTCCTACTGAGGCTTCTGCTCTGGACGTCCTTGCAGTCATGATGCTCTCTTTGTCTTCCGTCTGGAACGTCTTCGCATGTCTGATGTTCGAGACGTTTTCAGGAACTCGAGTGTTTGGTTAAGCTCGTGGTAGGGGAGTCTTCGCAATTCTGAAGCTCAGTGAGTGAAACTCCTGTACCCAAAGTTCACACAGTTCTGGTCATGAGTGCAGGGGGCTCCCACTTTGGACGTCCCCATAAGTCTGACCCTGGAGGGTCTCGGGCGTCCAGCCCGAACTCCAAGGACTTCCTCGCACTGGACGTTTTCAGTGTTGCCCTCGTGGGTGGCATCCTCGTAGCTGTTATGCTCAGTGTGGCTCCTGCTCTGGACGTCCTTGCACTGCGAGTGCTGAGTGTAGTTCCCGGTTGCGATATCCTCGTTGGTGTGATGCTGGGGCCCTCGCTCGGGACATCCTCGTAATTATATTGCTCAGTGGGTCTATTGCTCGGGATGTCTTGCACCTCTGATGTTCGGTGACGCCCCCTCCCTTGAAGTTTTCGCAGCTGCGATTTTCAGTCCAGCCTCCGTTCGAACTGTTTTCGAGAGTTCGGCCCTCAGTAGTCAGTGGGGCTCCCGCTTGAGGTGGCTTCACACTTCAGTGTTGAGTGGTGCTCCCGTTTTGAACGTTCTCGTACCTCGCAGATCGGTGCGTCCAGCGCTCAAGACCCCTCGTGGATATGTTGCCCAACGTGGCAACCGCTCTGGACGTCCTCGCAGTTCTGATGCGCAGTGGTGCTCACTCGGGTCGTCCTCGCAGTTCTGTGTCTCTGGGGGGATCCCGCTTGAAGCCTCCTCGAGATTCGTCTCCTCAGTGCTCAGCGGGGCTCTCGCTCAAGCGATCAGTGTGTTCCAATGAAACACTTCTTCGGAATGTCCACGAAGGTCTGTGCTCAGCGGTGGGGCTTTCATTCGGGATGTACGTGCCATTCAGAGCAGCACAACAGCGGACCATCTTGCAAACCTGCCAGAGCAAAAACAGCAAGTTTCGGATTAAGACAAGGGTTAGCAGTTGACCATGTGACCTTCGGCGCGTCCCGCCACCTGGGTTGTAGGTGTGAAGCCAATGGGATGCTCGTTGGGAACTCGTGGGAGGCCCCTCGGGGGCCTCTGGGCGGCAGTTTGGAGTCTTCTTTGGGGCGGAAGGCAAGGATTTTCAGTTTGTGCTCCCTCTCTTGGGCTCTTTTTGGGCCGTCTGGGGGCCCTCTTGGGCCGTCTTGGGCGCATCTTGGGCGGTCTTGGGGCGCCCTTAGGCCGTCAGGGGGCCCTCTTGGAGGCCTCTTGGGGTGGTCTCGGGGGCTTTTAGGGTCGTCTTGAAGCGTCGGAAAGCCGACAAGGCGAGAACGTCAAAATCCTCCCAAAACCCTAGGGGCGATCAATGGTTTTTGCCTCTTGAGGCTCTCTTGGGAGGCCTCTTGGAGGCCTCTTGGGCCATCTTGGAGGCCTCTTGGGCCATCTTGAGGCCATCTTGGGCGTCTTGGGCCGATCTTTGGGCGTCTCGGGGCTCTCTTGGGTCGTCTTGCGGGCCGCTTGGGGCCCTCTTGGCCCTTCTTGGGGCCTTCGCAGGCCCGAGACATTCTCGCGCCACCGCTCCTGGGAGCCCAGGGGGGGCACGCGGGAGGCCGCAGGGGGCACGCTGGCAGATCCAGAGGGCACGTGCCACGCCCCGGGAGGCTCGAGAGCGAGGGGCCCGGGCCCCCGCTTCGGGCGTGAGGAGGGAGGCTCGGGGGCGGAAACGAGGGGGTGATGACCAGGGGGGTGTGGAGTTCGGGGGCGGCAAAGAGTTCGGGGGCGGCAAAGAGGGGCGTGATGACTAGGGGGGGGGTGGATATCATGGCGGCGGCCATGATATCTCCCCAGATTTCGTGGCGCCTCTTCTGATTTCATTACGTCCCGGGCCCCCCCGCTGGGCCGCGCACATGCCGCCGGTCATGATTTGCACCCCCCCTCTTGGACACCCCCCTCTTGGCCGCTCCCGAGAGGCTTGGAGGACTGGGCCCGGGACCTGAGGGCACGCCCATTCCGTGCCCAGCGGCACGGGCCTTGAGATCCCAAGAGGCCAGCGGATTTGAACCGTCCTCTGAGTGAAATCTTAGGCGGGAAGGGGTGGATTCGCGATCGGGGGCCAATCCCCGATCCATCGGCGATGTATGGCTGATTCAAGCCCGATGTTTTTCCCCTGAGCTGCCCACCCCCAGCGTTTCCCCTCGTGAAATCCGGGCAGGAGATGGTGCAGGTGCTGTCGCACGTCGACGTGAACCGGGTCGGCCTGCAATTTGCCCTTTCTGGTGAAATGTGCGACGAGGTGTGCGGGCAGTGCAGGCGTGGGTGTAGAGAAGAGGCCAGCTCATCGCAGGCATGCAGTCCATGAAACGCGTTGCTCGAGTGCTGTTGAAATATAGCCCCTTCAACGCATACCAATTCCTCGCATGGGTCTGTTGTAGCGTGGCAGAAATGGCACGGCAGTGCAAATGGGGTGATGTTTGGAAGGTCGACGATGTAGTGTACGCTCCAACCAAGTCTCGCCTGAACGATACAGGGCCGTGTACTCGTGGCCCTGGACCGTTCCATGAACCATGCCGTCCAGCATTTCAACCTGAAGCCATCGCTGTTGATTCAGCGTTAAGCAGTGTGATGGAGCTCACCAGCCATTACCTTTCCCCGGGACGAGGGCACGCAGATCTGGGTCAAGGCCGAGCAGGGAAGGGGAGGCGGAGCCCAGGAAACGAGGGAGGAGCAGAGGATCGAGGTGGAGGGAGAGAGGAGGGCATGGATTGCGCAATGATCGCGCGAGCTCGCGTGTTTGTGTCTGTGTGTGCGTGCGTGCGTGCGTGCGTGCGTTCGTGTGTGTGTGTGTGTGCGCGTGTGTGTTTGTGCGTGGGTATGTGTGTGTGTGTGGTTGTGTGTGTGGGCGCGTGTGTGTCGCGTGAGGGCTTCCCTTTGCGTTCATCTGGGCTGCAATCGGATGGACTTGTACTCGAGCCTTCCAGGAGCGGGTTCGCGCGGCCCGACAGGTCCCGGTCCCGTGTGCACCGCGCCGGCTACCCGGCGTTGCGCGGCGGCCGGCTGCACCGCGCCCGGCTATGCGGACGCGCCACCGGGCGGGTCTTGCAGCGCCTGCGGGGCCCGGGGCGCGGCTATTGCCCCCAGATGTTGGCAGACGTCGCAGTCCGCTACAGCGTCCCGGGGAACGCGCGTCCCCCAAACGGCCGGCCAGCTCGGCAGGGCGGCGCTGCGTTACCTTTGTTGGCTAGCGCGGGACCGCGCGCAGCTGCGCGTGCAATGGCACGCTGGTGGGGCGCGGAACTTCGCTGCGCACTGCACAGCACCACCGCGCGGCAGCTGCGCAGCACGCTCGGTCGGGAGCGCGCGCGCGGCCCGCGCCGCGCTGGCGGCCGAGCTGGCCGAGCAGCCTGCTGGCCGTCGGGAGCGGCGCTTGCCTGGTGCGCTGGCTTCACTGCGTGGGGGCGCTGGTCTGCTTCGTGGCCGCAGTGGCCCTGCTCAACAGCGCGTAAGGCGGGCGAGTGCCACAGACCAGCCGCCGCGTGCAGGAGGAGGAGGAGGAGGAGGAGGAGGAGGAGGAGGAGGAGGAGGATCAGGAAGAGGAGGGGGAGCGGGTCGACGATGAGGACGGGGGAGGACGAAGAGGACGAGGAGGACGAGGAGGTGACGGCGGCCTCGGCCAGGTCTGGTCCAACAGCGTTTGCGAGGAGGTCGCCCGCGAAGTGATGCAGGAGGGGCGCCCCAGTGGCGGCCAGGGGTGGTCTCGGATCACCGAGGGCGATTTGCTTACCATTCACACAGTTTTGGTGGGGAGCGCGGCTGTCAGTCACGTTTGACGCAGCGCGATCCGATCGCGCAAATCCGGGACAGGGCTGCGATTGCGTTCCGCGCTGCCTGGCGTCATGGGTTTTCAGCCGGCTGCACTTGCTACAGGTACCCCCCTGCGTCACCGAATTGTTTCGAATTTCCATGCGGTATCCACGTCTTGGCTGGGAACTACTAGCCCATATGCTTTTCGAGATCCGAGGCAAAACCTTGTTGTCTCGTGCCCAGCTAACTTTTACAACATCGTGAATTTAGGTTAGAAGGCCCACTAGCTGCCATATAAGTATGCGGGGGGGTAAAGACACGACACTGGGCCTCATTAGTACTAGCGAAGGAATTTCGAAGAAGCGGGGGCCATCTCAGCATGGAAATCGGCCCCCCCCCGGCTTTGAATTGTAGTCACTCGTCTTGGTTGTCATGGGGCCCTCTTGCGCCGTTGTTTGACATTCTTCGTCTGTCTCGGTCCACTCTTTGGTCCCTCCTGTGCCGTCTTGGGCGGTCTCTTTTCCCTCCTGCTCCTTCCTTCCTCCGCCGCATTCCCTCCTCCCACCCCTTCCCCCCCGGCGTCGTCTTCGTCCTCCTCGTCGTCGTCGTTGTCGATATCCTACCTTTTTTTCCGGCCTCGTCCGTGGTGGCGCCAGGAGTTCGGCGGAGAGAACGGCAGCATCGATTTCCAGGAGTGGCTCAGGTTCACCCCCCCCTCTGGACAGAGACTCCCAGTGCACCAATGCCGGTGTGGCCGCTGCGGGCCTTTTTGAGAGTCCGGGAGGCCAGAAGAGCGCACGCTCAAGCACCATACTTCGGACGTCCGCGAATTTTGTTGTTCCCCGTCGGCGCAGGACGCCGTGATCGGATCGTCTTCATGTATATCGGCGTTCCGCGAAGCCCGCCACCGTGCTTGGATTGTGGGTTAGAGGTTAGAGGCCTCGTGGATGTTCGGCGTTCGTGTGGATATCGTGGGAGAGCTCTTAGAGGTCCTGAGGCCCCTGAAAACTACGCCGCGAGGCCACAAGAGGCGTCCAAGACGCCCCTACGTCACGATCCATGTCAGGGGCGTGTGCGTGCGTACTTTGCGCGTGTGTGTTCGCGCGTGTGTTTTTCTCTCTTTCTCTTTCTTTCTTTCTTTCTTTCTTTCTCTCTCTCTCTCTCTATTTGCGCGTGTGTGCGCGTATGCGCATGTGCGCATGTATGCGTGTGCGGGCGTTTGCGCGCGTGTGTGTGTGTGTGTGTTTGTTTACGTGTATCTGTGTGTGTGGGTGCATGCGTGCGTGCGTGAGTGCGTGCGCGTGTTTGTGTGTGTGTGCATATGTGTTGCGTCGAGGGGACGGGGTTGGGGAAGGGGCAACGGCATCCAATGGCCATGCGGTTGCATGATATAATGATATTGCGCCTGTGCCTGTGCTCCGGTGCCTCTGCATGTCTGCGCGCGTACGTGTACGTGTGCGGGTGTGTCTCGCTGTGCGTGTGTGTATGTGGGTGTGTCTGTGTGTGTGAGTGTGCGCGCTCGGACCACCCCCCTCACGTGGGAAGTTCTGGATGTGGTACCTGGGTATTAATACTGGGTGGCCCCAAAGGGGTCGACGCATTCCTCATCCAGGCAGCTGCTACCAAGCCAGGGTGCTTGCGCGCCTGCGTGCCAGTGTCTACTTGTGTCTCCTTCCTCATGCGTGGATGGGATCTGGCGTCGAGGTGTGGGGGGGGGGGATGGGGTGGTTCTCGATATCAGAAGGAGGGGTGGTTGTATCATGAAGCTACGCGCGCGAGTGGGTGCGCATGTGCGCATGGGCGTATGTGCGCACACCTCGGAAAATCCCATGAGGACCCCTCGGGAGCCCAAAGGAGCGCCCAAGAAAGCTCCAAGACAGCTTCGGAGTGTTCGTTGCTCGTCCCTCCTCGTCGTCCTCCTCCTCCCCATCCTCCGGCTCCCCGACTCCTCCTCCTCCTCCTCCTCCTCCTCCTCCTCCTCCTCCTCCTCCTCCCGAGTAAGAGGCAGGTGTATCAGAAAGGCGGAGAAGGGGGATGGCGAGGAGAAAGGGGAAGGAGGAGGGAGGAGAGAGGATAGAGAGCTCCGGCTCCCAGCCTGTCGACGCGTCGCACGTCGATCTCGCACGGCTCCGCGACCGCCCACCGAATCCGAAGCTATCCCCCAGAAGTGCCAGGACTCTCACGCGTCAAGGGCGGCCCTTGCCTGGGGAACCTCTTCATTGGGGCACGTGGGCGGGCGGGCGGGCGGGCGGGCGCGCGGGCGGGCGTGCGGGCGGGCGGGCGGGCGTCCGGGCGAGCGGGAAGGTGCTCGGGCGGGCGCGCGCGCGGGTGTGCGGGCGGGCGGTTAGGCTCAGGGGTTAGGGTTTAGGGTTAGGTGGTAGGGTAAGGGTCTTGGGGTATGAGGGTTGATTTTTTTTTTGCGGAGGAGGATTGTGGAGGGAGGGCATGGAGGTTGGGAGATGAGGGAGGCGAGGGAGGGGGGGTTGCGAGAGGGGAGGGACGGGAGGGAGTGAGGGAGCGGAGGGAGAGGAGGGAGAAGAAAGAGGGGAGGGATGTGGAGGGGAAAGACGAGAGGAAACGGGGGCGGGGGGAGGGTCCGGAGTGTAGAGAGGGGAGTGAGGGGAGGGCGTCGCAAAGGGTAGAGTATTAATCGTATTTTTGTGTGCCTCTCCAGGCGTTGCCAAGGGACCAGTCTAGTAGAATTGAGTATTTTCGATTTCGCGACCTTGCTCATGGCACGAGTAAAGCATACTAGTATGTTTTCGCCCCCCCTGGCGTTGCCACGGGACGATTAGAATAGTAAAAATTGCGTTGCAATCAATTGCAATCCATTGGGTTGCAAGCGATTCGATTGCATTCGATTGGATTGCAATCGATTGGATAGCAATCGGTTGGATTGCAATCGATTCGATTCCAATCGATTGGATTGCAGGGGAGGGACAGGACGGAAGGGAGGGAGGAGAGGAGAGGGAGGGGAGGGAGGGGAGGGAACGTAAGGTGGGGAGGGAGGGGAGGGAGGGGAGTGAGCGGAGGGAGGGGGGGAGGGGGATTGCAGTTGAATTGGTTGCAATCGATTGCGTTGCGATGGATTGGATTGCAATTGATTGCGATGTAATCGGTTGGATTGCAAGCGATTGGATTGGAATCCAATCTCTCGATCGTCGATCCTTGATCGTCGATCGTTGATCGTCGATCGTTGATCGTCGATCGTCGATTGTCGATTTTTGATCGTCGGCGAAAGGGAGGGTCCGGGGGCTGGATGGGAAAATGGGTCCCCCCTCCCTGTGAAAAAGGAGGGAGGGGGCGGGGTAGCTTCCAGGGCGGCCAAAAGGGGGGAGGGGGGGGAGCCTCCAAGCTTCGCCCCCCTTTTGACAAAAAAAGGGGAGGGGGGGTGGCTTCCAACAAGGGCGGCTCAAGGAACGGGGCAGGTAGCTTAAGCCAAGCGCCCCCCCTTTGCTCGGTCGTTTTGGGCGCGCGCGCTCTCTCTCTCTCTCTCTTTCATATATGTGGTGTGTTTATATATACCTGTGTGTAGTTAGTATTATTAATATTTTTTTATTATTCTTACTACTTATATTATTATTATAATAATTATTATTATTCCAAGTATTATTATTATCATCATTATTATTATCATTATTTTTTATTATATATATATATATATGCAAACATTCGGTCGAAGACTCCTACGGCGAGTCACCGCCGCCCCATGCCTTTCTGGGAGCGCCGATGGGGCCAAATGTTTTGGCGAGGATGCTCATATATTGGCGTTGATCAAGATCGACACCGACGCTTCCGCGTTCAGCGCAGCGTTCCGCCACCGCTTTCGCCGCCTGCCGGGCATTTATTTCCGTCGAGGGGGGCCCTCTGGCGTGACCCCGGCGCGCGCGGCGACGCACGAGGTGCCGCTCTCTGCAGCGCGGCGCGACGAAGCCCCGGCAGATAGCCGGTGATCGGGCAGCGACAAAGGACTGTTTCTTGATCGGGCCTCGGGCCCCCCCCCCACCCCGGACAGCTTGACCTTGCATGTTTTTCGCAGGTCCGATGGGGTGCGCAGTAATGGTGCGCGCGGGCATGCGTGGGGTTGCCCCAGCGAGCTCGTCAGGTTATTGGCCGTCCCCCCCCCCCCCACAGGATGACCCGGTTTAATCGCGGATAGTACAGGAACGGGCTGCAAGAGGGGTCACCGTCGGGGGTCGCCAGCTTCTTTTGGAAATCGTTGATCCAGGATCGAAGCTCGAGAAGGTTTCTGGACGCTTGGGATCGATATGGAGGGTTCTGCAGGGTTCTTGCGGGCCCACTTCCTCGAGGAGTTGGCATTTCCTAGAGGAAGTGGGGACCTCTCCAGTAATGACCCCCCTTGGCATTGCCCCAGATGAGCGTCGCGAAGACCTCCGCGTCGGCCCTGCATGCCCGCGGCGCTGACATGATCCCCAGCCTCCGCGGCCACCTTGATGCACGACTTCGTTTTGCAAGCGTAGGCCCAAGCAGTGAACTCATGTATTAGATGTGCAAGCTATGCGGTGCAAGCTATGTGCCACCTGCGATCTGCTGGAAACCTTGGTTTCTGTCTCTAGGCGGCATCCCGGCCAGCTCCGTTACGACAGGTGGCGCAAGTTTACATGGTATCTCGCGGACCCATCATCGGTTGTTAGTATCGTCATTACCATTGTTGCGAAACAAAGATGTGGTGTCAGTACTGTGGTGCAAACTCTGTGGCAGAAGCTCCGTGGTGCAAGCTATTTGGTGCAAGCTATGCGGCGCAAGCTTTGTGGTGTACTATAGATGTTGCAAGCTATGTGGCAGAAACTGTGAGGTGCAAGCCGTGTGCCTGTGAAGGCTAGGTGGCGCAAGCTGCGTGGTGAAATCCACGTAACGCAAGCCATGTGGTGCAATGTGCGTGGTGTGGGCAATGCTGTGCAAGCCATGTGGTGCAAACGATGAGGTGGCGACCGGGCGAAATCTCCGAAACTCAGGCAGCGCACGGGGCGGCGACGAGGGCGCCCTCGTGGCGCCCACGATGTGCCCATGAGGAGTGGAATGCAAGAGCCGTCAGGCGGGAGCTGGGGCATCTCTTGGCGGATGACCCTGCACGTTTTCGAACGATCACCATCGTTCTTCAGGGAGGCCAGAATGGGTAAGGAAACAACGGCTTGAATGTCTAACAGCGGTTCTGGTTCATTCTAAACAGGATTCGTCGTCGGCGCCGCCATGGCTGTTGTCCATTTGAGACGCAAGTTCGCCTTTTCCGAAAGCGGCCGCTGTCGGTTTAAGACAATATTGTAGTGGCCTTCGGCCAGTGCCGCCGATCCAGGTCGCCTGGGATGCCCCCCGGACTGGGCGGCGACACTTCGCCGACAGACACGCACGCACACGCTCGCTGACACTACGCGCACACACGTACACACACACGCACACACACACGCACACACAGACACACACACACACAACACACACACACACATACACGCGCGCCACCTTCGCAGGCACATGCACGCGCACACGCGGGCAACACACACACACACACACATACACACCACGCACACCGCACAAAAACACACAACACACACACACTCACACTCACACTCGCACTCACACTCACACTCACACTCACATTCGCACACACACCACACAACAGACACGCATTTCACCGCCACCTTCGTCTTCCCCCTCCATTTGTTCCCCTGTTTTCCGCTTTTGTTCCGTTCCACTTCTTTTCCCCTCTTTCCCCGATTCCCTTCCCGCGTGCACGGACAACCACTACCCCACGCACGCGCGCACCCTCCCCCTCCATTTCTTCCCCGGCAGAGCCCCCCCGGCACCCCCCCTGGAGGCTGAAGCTCAGCTTCGAGGCTGTAGTTGGAGGCCCCTTCAAACTCACACGCCACGGACCTCCCCCCCCCTCGCCCGCGCCATCACCACCAAAACACTCCCTTTCTTCCCGCAATTACCCATGTCCACAGGCGTGGCGGGGGACCTGACCCCCCCCCTCCACGCCACCGGAACCCACGCCACCGGACACCCCCCCGTCCCCTTGCCCCGGCAGGGCCACACCGGCCACCGACCCCCCCGCCTTTCCCCCAATTTCCCCTGTCCACATGCGGGAGAGGGTACCGACCCCCCCCCCCCCCACGCCACTGGAACCCACGCCACCAGAACCCCCATCCCCCCCCACCCCTTGCCCCCGCCCCCGCAGAGCCACCCCGGTCACCCCCTCCCCCTGGAACTCACACGCCAGATCGACGGATTTGATTTTGTGTATCGTACCCATTTGTGTTGTAACCATATCAGGCGTCCAAAGTTCTGGCGATCGTCTTTGGGAACGATGGCTAAGGAAGCGAAAAAAAATAAGTGAGAACCGAGCGGTGCGCGCACTGCTTGTGGATCACAGCTAAGTTCGAGCGCTTCCTGGCAGCCACTCGTTAGCTCCGCCTACCCCTCCCCCTCCACCTCGTCCTCCTCCTCCACCACCTCCTCATCATCCTCCCCGGGGTGGCTCGAGATGGTTTTCTGCGGCGCGCACGCGGGGGGTCTGCGCGAAGGACGACCTTTATGATGTTGGAGGGTATTTTCAGAAGGCAGAAACCTTCTTGGAAGGGCCCGGGGGCTTCGAAGAAACTGTCTTGGAAACCAGGGGGGTTTTGAGCAGCTCTCTTCCCAGAAACTTCCCGCCTTCTTGGAAGGCCAACCCCCTCGCGCCACCATCCCGTTGCGCGTGCCGCCTCCCCGGATCTCCGACTGCAGAGAAGGGGGGGGTGCGCGAGGCCTGCACCCCGCGAGCCCCGCCCGCCCAGGCTGATGCGCCACTGCGCTTGGAGGCACCAGGACGGCTGCGCCAGGCCCGCGGCCGCACGCCCCCGGACGGCCGGGCCAGCCGCCTGCAACGGACGACGACGATCACAACGGCTCGGTACAATCTGAATTGGTACGGAATGAGTGGAGACGAAGTGGGACCGCAGGTCTTGTCCTCTTTCGAAGGGCTCGTTGTGGGTGCCGCCGCGGGCGGTGTCCATTTGAGACAGGAGGCCGACTGCTCAACAGCGGTCGCTGCCAGTTTGACGGCAGTTGTTGTTGGGCGTCGGACCTTTTTTGTACCCAGTTCAGGCGTCCAAACGGTGGCGACGACAACGTTCTCGCGGCGGCGACGGGGATTTTTTCCCAAGCAGTGTCTGCACCCAGGGAACTTCATTTGCGTCAGAAGAAATTGGATGGGTCCTGCGAGGTTTCCCGACGTTGCCGCCCGTTGCCGCCTCGTTCCCACCTCGTGCGTTGGATGGGTCTGGCGACGTTTCGCCAGTTTGCTTCCATTGTTGCCTCGTTGCCGCCTTCAGCTTGCAACACATAGCTTGCGCCGCACAGCTTACACATCCACAGTGCAATAACGTATCGTTTAGTCGTCCACGCTGGCTAAGTTTTTGCTGATGGGTTTGTTCCCAGCCCTCTTGTGTTGGGTTCTCGTTCGTCTGGCGAGGTTTCGACACGTTGCCGCCCGTTGATCCCGCCTCTTGCGTTGGGTGGGTCCGTCGATTTTTCGCCTCGTTGCCGCCGTTAGCTTGTACCACATAGCTTGAGCTGCACAGCTTACACACACGCAGTGCTACTACTTGGGGGGCCATGTTGGTTAAGCTTTTGCTGATGGGTTTGTTCCAAATCCTCCTGTGTTGGGTGTTCGTTTTGAATGGAGCACCGTGGTCTCCACCTCTCCCGCCTCCCTTCTCCCCCCCGCCTCCCTCCTGCCGTATGCGTCCTGCTTTATTCGCAACCCTCCTCACATCCCCTCTTTCTTCTCCTCCTCGTCGTCGTCCCTCCTCCTCCTCCTGCTCCTCCACGTCCTTCTCCTCCTGCCCTCTCTTCCTCCCCCTCCTTCTCCTCCTCCTCCTCCTCTTCCTCCACCTTCTCCTCCACATCCTCCACATCCTCCAACTCCTCTCTTCTTCCTCTTCAGGATGGGGCCTCAGCGAGTCTGGGCCCTGCGTCGTCATGGGGCGCTTAGGGAGCGACGTGCTAGCAGCACGCAGTAGCGCAGCATTCGCGTCGCGAATGTGGGCGTGTACAAATTCGGCCTGTTATTGCCGCTTCACCTGTCGAACTTGGGATGTCTTCGTTGGGGCCTTGTTCACGTGTTCGGTCTTTGCGTACGGCAGTCGCATGGTGCTGTTCCTTCTATTCCTCCCCATGGTCTTCGGGTTCTATTAAACCGTGCCGGGGAGGGGCTTGGGGTGCCCAGTCAGTATGTGTTGAGGTCTTTGTTCTTGTTCTTTCACGCAGGATGGGTATGAATTTCAAGCCTTTATGCTATCGCTGAAGCTTTGTTACCCTGGTAATCAATCTCGATGCTGTTATGTTCCTTTTCCTCATCGTCCTCTGAATTCCATTGTACCGTGCTGTGGTGAAGGTCTGGAATGCCCAGAGTTGCTTGGATATTGGTTTGGCCGGTTGGTCGTTCGTGTTCATGTGGGGTTCAACGACATTGTTGTCGTGTATTTGACCGTGGTTCAAGCTTCTTCGCCAGTGTACCATGCATGCTGCCACATTCGTGCGAACAACTTTGTACCGTGCATACTGCCATGTTCGTGCCTTGGGAGTTTTTGTTTTGCGATGTGGTGTGGCGCCGCTGTCTCCGCACATGCCCAGGCTTTCTGCGTTCGCTTCATTTTCCCCGTTCTATCAGTCGTGGCGTGTTTCGCACATAATTCAACGTGTATCCGACCTTGGTGGCTTGGCCTGGAAAGAGTGAACATCTTCATGGTGTGCAGGCCCATTTGGCGGTATCACGTTGTTTTGGTTGCGCACCACAATTTTCTCGGTTGGCTCCACTGGTTGGCCTCCTTTGCTTCGATGCTCATCGATATCCGGGGGTCGCATGCTTTTCAAATGCCGCGACGTGACGGCAGAATCGCTAGAATCCCTTCCGCGTCCTCCCCATCCTCGCTAACTACACAGCTGTGAGGGTGTTACCCCATCAAGACATACAGAAAAACAGGAAACCTGGACGCGAGGGAGGGGGCGGGCAGCCCCAGGAAGACGGGCTAGCGGACCCCAGGGCCCACCGGGAAAGATTTCGAGGCCCGACACGTGGCGAGGTGCAGCCGCTTCGCGCGCGGACATCCCGAGGTTCCGAACCTCGGTTTCGGTGAGGCCAACAAGGGCCAACTCTTCCTGCAAGTCTACACCTGGAGGCTGCTCGTATTCAAAAGGGGCATCACGCCGCGCCTCCGGACGCCAGACACCTTGCGGAAGAGCAGGTCCGTCAGTAGAGAGGAATTCCCAGCGCCGATCTTCAGCACGCTCACCAATTTGGTTTTTTTATGTATGCATTGGGCGTCGGCGTCTTCTACCGCTGCAAACGCGGCGTGTGCAAATCATATCATTAGCGCTTTCTGGTCTCAGCAAGAAGAACAACCACGCTAAACAACGCTTCATTCTTCATGTTTGTGCGTTGTCAGCTTCGTGCTTTAGCGTTTTAAGATATGGTGGCTGCATTATGTACCATTGCTGTCTACGACATCTTCAGTTCCTTTTCCTGGCGTGCAGTCCTTCTCCGTACGTGCAGTCTGGCGGGCCCGATGGCCGATTGCCCCTCCCGGGGCCGCCGGCCTTCCGGGCCTATTTCGGGCCGGCGTTAGACCAGTGTTTGAGCGTTTCTGGGGGGGAGAAAGGCTGCACAAACGAGAGGGAGCGACGACAGCAGGGAAGACAGGGAACAGCCTTAGTCCAGAAAGCAAACAAGCAAACAACGCTAAAAGAATGAAGATCCACCGCGACGAACCTAACAACGGCACGCCGTCGCGTTTGTATTGCGTTTTTAGGTTGAGCCCACAGTGCGAAATGGTGAGAAAAACGCCCGCGGCGCCTTCGAAAAGAACCAAACTCACCACCCTCCCCGACCATGCGAAGCCCATGTTTTTGGCAATGGGTATGCTTGTCTCGCAGGATGCGGTTAATTTTTTCTTGACAGTCTCCGATTTGCCTTTGCAGTTCATCATCACCAGACATCTGGACGCCCCAGCCCTACGGGTGAAGCGAACACTATTCTCGCACAGCGTATTGGAAATCACACCATCCACTTGGCCACCCAGCGAAGATTTGTTTCAGCAGGGTGGATCATATCTTGTGCCCGCGCCGACCCCAAATTTTCAGGAACATATTAATATCCCTTTGTTTCAACAGCATGCGCAGGCGAGGCCTTTTTTTTTTTCCTTCGACACCGCGCGATCGCAGCGGATCGGGGGCCACGGTCCAATCTCCACGCGTAATGCGCCCAGCGTGCGCCGCGCAGTAGGGAAGATGGGAGTATAGTTTTTGAATATCGCTGAGCCCGGCCTATCATTGATTTCCTTCCACCAATGTGAGCGCTGCTCCTTGCTCCAATCCGGGGATCCCCGAGCGTGCTCTTGCAGTCAGCATGAACGGCGACCGGCCCGCCGCAAACTGCGCTCCTCGAGACCATTCGAATTGCAATTTTTTCGCCATCGCGATCAACCTGGTCTGGGCCCTCATCCACCATGAACCACCCCGAAAAGTGAAGATACGGCCTGTCCATTCGCATCAGCCACAATCACAGACCATCCAGCCACGCGAAGCCCAGGCCATGTCAACTCATGCCCAGATCCATCAGCGCGCACGCGCGAGCCAGCAGGTAGGGCCAAGCCATCCACCGACCAGTTCATCCTCGGCGCGCACGGGCCAGCAGCTTCTGCTGCACAGGGCCGTTGAAGAGGCCGGACGCGGTCAACCACACAAAAAGCAACCGTCAGAAAAGTCCACGGTCATGATCAGACAAGGATCTGAAGCGTTTCGCAGCCCTGGACTCCCAAGGATCAATGCATCCTCGTCTCCATGTTTCATGCGCCTCACAATTGAAGCTGCGATGAAACGTCGCACCTTGAGCCCCAAGACAAAGAGTTTGAAATTCGCCGACGCCTCGCTTGCGTAAATCCAGATTCTCCCCGATTCCAGTAGACGTTGCCGACCGCGGCCGTCAACGCATACTTCTGGTGATGACTCTTGCCTGGCGCGCCCTCCTGGCAGATGGGCTCGTAGATGGGGGCCCAGAAAATCAGCCCATCCCAATGTTTGACATTGCGCTGCCCCCCCTGCTCGTCGATCTCGATTGCGCGGCTGACCTCGGCGCGCGCCGCGCGTTCAGGGGGGCGAGGCGAAAATTCGCGCAAGCCCCAAGCCCTGTCGAAGGCGCCCCCAGCCATGCCGCGCTCCAGTTGAGTTGGTGCGCCCGCGGCTCGGCGCAATAGCAGATGCCAGTCCGGCAGTTGCCCCGTTGCTTCCCGCGGCGAAGCCCCCGCGCACTTGGGGCCCATCCCCGCAGCAAGACAGCAACGCCTCATCCGATGCAGCCTCGGCCCACCTGAGCTCCGCAGACCCTTTGAAATCGCGCGAGGTGGCGACCGTGAGCGGGCCGCCTTTCGCGGCCGAGGGCGGGGCGGGAAGTTGGGCCCAATGGGCGCGCCGTTGTTTTTTTCACCGCCGGCCGCCCGAGCCGCCTGAGCCCCTCTTCGGACGCGGGCGCGCGGTGCCGGAGACGGCCTCATTGCCAAGGCCACCGAGACTTGCTCGGCTAACGGCCGTAACCGTTGGTGGCTCACGCCACCGGCTGTAAGCCTCAGTAGCTTACGCTACCGGCTGTAAGCCTCAGTGGTTTACCTACATGATTCATTCTGCCATGTGCCACTAAGAGTCTATGTGTTCATGTGCCATAGTGTATACATACATATATATATGTATATATATGACAGGTGACGAGTTTACTTCATTATCGTTACACATTGTAATTGTTATGGCGTAGTGCATGGTATCTAGCATTATCGTGTGTATCCTGATA